CCTCTCTAGCCAATAACAGTGTTTCCTTAAATGCCCTTTCTTATTACAATAAGTGCAGTTCAACTCACTGTTATGCCTTAGTGGTTTTGAACTTTTCCTAGAGTTAGATCTAAATTTATTATTAATGGGCGTGGAGGCATCATAGGAGGTCGGGCAAGGATTCTGTATGCGACGCATCTCTGTAAGATTGGATCGTCCTTTCTTAGGGGCATATTTAGTCACTGTTTCCTTACTTTTTGTTTCGCCAATCAATTGTTGAGATATTTCATAATTACCGGCGAGCGAGGCTGTTTCTAGTATATTTACTATGGGACAACTAATCAAATACCTATGCAAGTCTTCTGGTAAATTATTATAGAAATCCTCATGCAGGATCAATTGGGAAAGACTTTCCATAGATTTACAGTTAGAAGCTCTACACCATCTCTCAAAAGCGATTTTCTTTTCATGTGCAAAATCTACATACGACTGAGTTGGCTGGCGTTAATGCTCTAAAGGTTTTTTGATAACTTACTGGGAGGAGATCATAAGCCTCTAGGATAGCCTTCTTAACGGAATCATAATCCACATATTTCTCAGAAGGTAACGTAGCCGTACAACTTTGAGCTTTACCAGTCAACGAAGTATGTAATAAGGTTGCCCAGTGTTGTCGGGGCCAGCGCATAGCACGTGCTTGATTCTCAAAGACTTCAAAATAAGTATCTAAATCTCCGTCATTAAACCTTGGAACCATAGATGCAGCTTTTTGTATATTGAAAGAATCATTTGAGGATTCAGTACATCTTTCACTCACATTACCTTGTTGTTGTCTTATATAGCGGAGCATTTCCCTTTGAAAGTCTTCTTCATTTAATTTACGCTGAGCCTCAATTTGAGCAGTCTGTAAAATAAATAGTCTCTCTAATTTCTCAAACTGACTTTGAGAAATATGCCCCGATGGTATCGAGAATGAGGGAATTGAACTGGCGGTATGTGGATATTCCTTTGGACGTGCACCTTGGTGAGGGGCAGGCTGACCATTAATAGGAATTCCTTCAGTAACGGGCGAATGCCGAACAGCGGCTGCACCCTGCAATACTTCATCTACTTTACTAGAGGCCAAAGTGGGACCTAATCTATCTGATTCAATTTCAAGATCAATTCTTCGAAATTGTTCTTCTAATACTTCGAATCTCGACTGGTAGCTTACTTGAGAAACTAAACTTTCAGAGTCAGAATCTCCTGCTACATGATGGTTAGAGGCCCCTGGAAACAATTTGTTTCTAATTATTTCCCTTACGGTATTGGCTGTGTAATATCTATTGTATGGTACTCCCAATTTACGGGCTATCTGCCAGCACGTTTGAAGTTTCAAGGAGTCCAGCTTTGACAATGTTAAATCTTCAAATAATTCTTTAATGTGATCTTCCATAATCAATATTTTGAAATTAACTAGATAAATTCCCAGTATATAACTTTAACATTGTTCTTTTTGATCAATGTCTTAAAACAACAGAGATCCCGGACGGGTAACCCATTTGTTGCGAATAAGAAATTTTTTAAAGAACTTCAGAATATGGCCTGTTACCATTTATTTCTTATGCAACAAGATTTTTGGATCCGAGTTATTTAAAGGTATTTTAGAGTCTAGGGGAAATAATTTCAACTGGGAAACTCCATAGAATAATATTCAAATTTATTAAAGTATTTAAATACAATACTTTATCTTCTCTCTTAATACTTTGTACAATAAATTTACCATATACATTTAGTTCAAAATCATGGAAATGTCACATTAATAAGGAAGTTTAATTATTCTTCCTGTAATTAAGACTTCAATAACATTTACGTCTTTGTCTTAACAAGACTGTAAACTCAAAATACAAAAGGTACAAGATTTGGCAAGACCTTTGAATCTGGCCGTAAAGTATCTCTATGGATTACTGAACTGACCAAGAATATAAATATCAAAAGAATCTTTCAGAGCAATTAGGAACAAACTGAGTCAGCTCTAGAGTCCAATTCTCAAAACCATTCAAACTGTACACCGTAAGAGCCAATATACGATCAGTTGTCAGGCCTAGAGCAGGGAGCGGACTGACTACTTGCCAGTCTGTTGACGCGTCGTCAGGTTGGATCAGCTGACCCAAACGTCAGCCAGCCGGACATAAACAATTGAACAATTCACCGGATGGTTCCGAGACTTAAACTCTATATACACAAGAAATCCTACCTAACAATAATAATAAAATAATAGTGATAATAATAACAAAATAGCAATAATAACAAAATAGTGATAATAACAAAATAGCGATAACAAAATAGTGATAATACCATGGTATTTTTCATATATTAACAGATAATAATATAACGCCGAAAGTCTCTATTTTAGCTATAAACGGGGACTTTCGCGCTGTAATGTTAAGTGATGAACATATTCTCTTACAATAGTTAAATAACACAGGATGACCAGTTTCGAAGATATAACATAGGCGATGTGCTAGGAAGAGTTAGGTGGTGTAGGGAATGTGCTAGGAAGAGTTAGGTGGTGTAGGGGATGTGCTAGGGAGGGTTAGGTGGTGACCACTTGCAGCAATATTAACCTTTTGAGGGACCAGACCCTAGACCTGAAACTTGTCCTCAAGGTTTAAAATATATCCTTCCCTCCCCACCCCCCATTATATTAATTCTCTTATGAAATGTAGAGAATCTTTTTCCTAAGGTAAAGACACCAAAATTACCAAATTTGATGGAAAACTTACAGAATTACGCTGGCACAAAGTTAACAGTCTCGGTGCACTTTATGCACTAGCAATTTCGCCCAACTTGAGTTCAGTTTTAGGCCAATTCCATTGTTCCAGTTTATCATTTTCTTAGCTATTTTACTATTATGCCTTCCATTCTGTCAATTGAATATAAGAAATCACCCATTCAATCATTTCAACTACCTAATAAAGTCCTCAGAATTTGGTAATTTTGCCAATTTCATACAAAATTAAAAAAAATGCTTATTTAAAAATAGTCCATAATAAACAGTGTAGACATTCCTGGCACTGAAACATTTTCTTTATTCATCAGTCATGTCTCCAGTCCTCTCTCATATTATACTTGCTATTCATCAGTCATGTCTCCAGTCCTCTCTCATATTATACTTGCTATTCATCAGTCATGTCTCCAGTCCTCTCTCATATTATACTTGCTATTCATCAGTCATGTCTCCAGTCCTCTCTCATATTATACTTGCTATTCATCAGTCATGTCCCCAGTCCTCTCTCATATTATACTTGCTATTCATCAGTCATGTCTACAGTCCTCTCTCATATTATACTTGCTATTCATCAGTCATGTCCCCAGTCCTCTCTCATATTATACTTGCTATTCATCAGTCATGTCCCCAGTTCTCTCTCATATACTTGCTATTCATCAGTCATGTCCCCAGTTCTCTCTCATATACTTGCTATTCATCAGTCATGTCTCCAGTCCTCTCTCATATTACACTTGCTTTCCATTTTGAATTATTATTCACACAAAAATAGAAGATTTACTTTATTTCTTGGATGATAATATATAACCCAGAAAGATTGTTCGTGGTTTGCAGCATCTCAGTAATTGAATCAGACCTAATAAAAACCCATAAAACAAACAGTGGGTTGTAGGCGGCCTTACCCCGTCCTCGGCTATATTGACAAAAATCAAATATTTCAGCTACTTTGAGCTTAGTTTCAAGATATTTCCAGTCATGAATCCAATCAAAATCATCTCTATTTTAGTAATATATCTTCCATTCTGTCAAGTAATACTAAGAAACTGAGAGTGAGCCCATAAAAACCATCCGAAAATATACTGCAAACTAACCACGTATTTTAAGCCATGTACATGGTCACAGTTTTGTTTTTCCCATCATGAACTGCATGGGAGCAGGATTGCTTTTATATCGTGCACACACCACACAGACCCATATTCTCATATGTAGGTCTCTCGCGCTAAATTTGAAGCCGCTAGAATTTATGCATAATATTACTGCACAGACTCTCCACTCAGAGCCGTGATATTTTGGCATGGACCCCAGAAGGGTTAATTCTTGGGGTCTGGATAGTGAAATGGTTAAGAATAAGTATGATAGGACCCACGAGGTTAGGAAAGAGTTAGTCTGGCTAGTGGCAAGTTGAGAGGCGGGGCCAGGAGCTGAGTCTTGACTACATATGCATACAGCAGGGTGCCACTTATACAGAAGGTTATGGGCTACTGCTGTAAAGCAAAAATTACTTTTAAATATTTTCATCCTTAGCTTATAGTAAGTAGTGAAACTATTTATTGTAGGAAGTCTGAATAAATGAGGAATTTGTATAACTGAAAACCGCTGCATTAATGAAATGCTGTAAAGCAGGGCCTGCCTATATACGTATATACATACATACATAAATACATACTGTTTAGATATGCTCTCTTACCAGCCAATTTTGTGACAGTTGATAGGTCTGTGGGGGTGTAAATGTCTTGTTACTCAAATACCATAAACCACATATTGTGTGTCTTTAACATGTATTGTTATGAGTGGATCATGATGGCTATGCTCTCTTATAGTAAGACAGTGAGGGTGAGAATGATAGGGAATGTTCTCTTCTTTCTCTCATCTTGCTGTGCTGGAAAACATACCATGTGGTAACTAAAAATTTAGAATTGAGATTTATTTACAGTGTGGCACACAGATGTAATTTTAAATTATTGATTTTTGTCTTAGTTGTCAATATACTCTTTTTATTATTTTTGTTGATCTTGAAATGTTTGATTATTGCTTTAGTTCATATTCATTTGATATATGTAATATAAGACTGCTTAACATAGCTGTTTTATTAGTAATAAAGAATATTTTTCAATCAGGCTTGTAAGTTTTAATGAGTGAAGGGCAGCATTTTCTGATAGTAAGATATTGCTTTTATTCACTCTAATGAAATATTTATAGACAGGGTGAGAGTGTGACAGTAATATTTTATTCGCTCTAATGAAATATTTATGAATAGGGTGATGGTGCAACAACCAGTAGTGGTCATTCCCCATTGAAGGTACGACACAGCGTTGACCTTGGCGTGGAACGTAACAAACTTCTGAACGAAGATGGAAATGCAGCTTCACTCGAGGTGAGTCATTTCACTTAACATCACTTCCCTGGTGCCACTGAAGGGCTCTTAAGCAATGGAGGCGGAGCTATCCTTTTTTCCTTGGATTGAATGTCATTAGCCCCTAATACCCAGGTGCTCTATAACCTCTGTGGGTTTATTGCTTCCGTGTATAGTCAGTTGTGTGTTAAGGTAATTTATGCATTGCATTTTTTAACATTATTTCAGATACTAATGTGTTAGTGTCCAGGTGAGCGGATGTGAAGCATACAAATACACATACATACTACATATAAACAAACTTGACTTTTAAATCTTTATTAGTAAAGCCTTATTACAGGGAGTTAGTGGCTGGTAATAGTGATTGTGATGGATATTGGTGAGATTGTTTACTTCTGAGTATAACAATATACAGTTCTCTAACCAATATGCTTTCTCATTGTTTCTGAATCAGTTAACCCAGCAGATTTTGTCCTGTATTCTGAAAGTCCTTTAATCTTTTAATGGTCACGACCCCTGCTTGGGAACTTGCTCCCAGGGTCAAAGAATTTTCAAAAAAAAAAAAAAAAAACTTATGAAATGATAGAGAATCTTTTTCCGAAGGTAATGAAATCAAAAGCATGAAATTTAATGGAAAACTTAAAGAATTATGCTCTTGCAAAGTTAGCAGTCTTGGCGATATTTACACATTGGCGATTTCATCCACATTGAGCCCTATTTTGCGCCAATTCCATTGTTCCAGTCGACCAAACTCATAGCTGTTTAGCTGGAACTTCATTTATTCTATTGATTGAGTACAAAAAATTGCCCATTTACTTATTTCAACTACCCAGTTTCACACAAAATTCAAGAAAGGCCAATTTCTTTCAAAATAAGGTCCAGAATAAATAATGTAGACATTCTTGGCACTAAAATAACATTTTCTCTGTTCATTAGTCACATCTCCAGGTCCCTCTTATATTATGCTTCATTTTCATTTTGAATTTTTATTCACACAAAAAATAGAAAATTTACTCTTATTCAGACTGCTGCATAATGGTAATAATTGTATAAATAATGTCAGTTCATTCGTGGGTTCATATTAGACTGGCCAGTTGATGTGTATTGGATGTGTGAAGTGATTTGTTTTTTCTTGAACAACAGCAAAAATCGAATATTCCCACTACTTTAAGGTTAATTTTAAGCTGCTTTTAATCTGTAAACCATTCAAAATCATCTCTATTTCTGTAATATATCTTTCATTCTATCAAATGAGACCAAGAAACTGAGAATATAACCATAAAAACCTTATGAAAATGCACCACATATTCGCTGTTTTACACCAAAAACATGGTTGCAGTTTTTTTCTCATTGTGTACTGAGTGCTGCAGGATTTTTTTTATTCTGTGCATACTGACCTTGCAGACCCATTCTCTCATATGTAGGCCTACTGGCTTTCTCCTGCAGATTGGAAGCCACCAGAATTTTTGTGCAGTATTACAGGACTGACCCTGGCTTCAAAGCTGTAACAGTATGAGACCAAATCTGAAAGGGTTAAATTGAGGGTCCAGGAACTGGAGAAAAATTTTTACAAACCAAGCTAATTTTTTTTTCTTCATCAAACTACCCATATCCACGTTAAGAGACAATACAATAAGTGTCAGGGGCCCGAGACTGTTCAGCTGCCTCCCAGCATACATAAGGGGGATTACCAATAGACCCCTGGCAGTCTTCAAGCTGGCACTGGACAAGCACCTAAAGTCGGTACCTGACCAGCCGGGCTGTGGCTATAACGTTGGATTGCGTGCAGCCAGCAGTAACAGCCTGGTTGATCAGGCTCTGATCCACCAGGAGGCCTGGTCACAGACCGGGCTGCAGGGGCATTGACCCCCAGAACTCTCCCCAGGTAAACTCCAGGTATCCCACCAAAGCAGGATGACCTAAAAGGAAAAATGAAAGTTTCTCTTTCGGGTCCTAATTCCACGTCGATAAATGAATTCGTTGCTAAACGAGGAGCATACTATACTGGTAGTGGGTTTGTGTCAACCATCTCTGATATTGTTTTAATGTCACCTTTGCACCATTTATAACATTTTAGTATATTTTTAAATGTTTATACAGTAGTGTACTGTATATTGTAATAAACAGAATAGAGGAAATCAGCTCTTATATACATAATTTTGGTATGCATACTGGTCAGAGAGCCCGTTGTAAGTCCGAGTCGTCGGTAAATGGGTTCGTCGCTAGGTGAGGAGAAGCTGTAATGTATACAGGAGAAGGGGTTACTAACCCCTTGCTTCTGGTGTTTTAGTCACCTCTTACGACACGCATGACTTACAGAGGAAGAATTCTGTTCCATTTCCCTATGGAGATAAAAGGAAATAAACAATAACAGAAACTAGTAAGAAAACAGAAAACAACCCTGAAGGGTGTGTGTATATATGCTTGTATATGTATGTGTAGTGTGACCAAAGTGTAAGTAGAAGTAGCAAGACGTACCTGAAATCAGGTAAAACAATTACATGCTTCCGTTGTACACTCACTTGAGAGGACCATAGTACAGTGAACCCCTGGATTTTGTAGTCGTCGTATTTCATAATATTCGGAAATAGTAACTTTTTTTGTCAAAATATTGGCTCGATGATCATCATTGAGCTCGGTAATAGTCATTCGTTCTCAATGTGTCCGCGCAGCCCAAGTGGCCCGACACACCATTTACAGCCATTGTTTATCAGCCAGTGAGGACGATCCCACGTGTTCATACAATACATTTTGTATTATTTTATTCTTTTTAGTGCTTGTAATTGCTAAATAAGCCACCTTGGGCCCAAAGAAAGCTTCTAGTGCCAGCCCTGTGGTAAAGAAGGTGAAAAATACTGTAGAATTCAAGAAAGGCATCATGGCAAAATATGAAAGTGGAGTACATATGGCAGAGCTTGCCAGGTTGTATAACAAACCCCATATAACCATTGCTTCCATCGTGGCTAAGAAAAAGGAAATCAAGGAAGCTGTTGTTGCGAAAAGTGCAAATATGCTCACTAAACAGAGATCGCAAATACTGGAAGCTGTGGAGACTTTGTCGTTGGTGCGGATCAACGAGAAACAATTATCAGGACAAAGGGCTATGCAGTCGATAATTTGTGAAAAAGCAAGGCAGTTGCAGGCGGATCTTGTAAAGAAAATGCCTGGAACTAGTGCTGATGTTAGTGAATTTAAGGCCAGCAAAGGCTGGCTTGAGAGATTTAAGAAGCATAGTGGCATACAAAGTGTGGTAAGGCATGGTGAGGCTGCAAGTTCTGACAAATATGCAGCTGAAAAATATGTTCAGGAATTCAAGGGGTACATAGAGACTGAACAGTTTAAACCCCAACAAGTGTTCAGTTGTGACAAAACAAACCTCTTTTGGAAGAAAATGCCAAAGAGGGCCTACATCACACAGGAGCAAAAGGCACTTTCAGGACACAAGCCTATGAAAGACAGGCTAACTCTCATGTTCTGTAGTAATGCTAGTGGGGATTTCAAAGTGAAGCCTTTACTGGTGTATCACTCTGAAAATCCCAGAGTGTTCAAGAAAAATAATGTTTCCAAGAGTAAATTGTGTGTGATGTGGAAGGCTAACAGTAAGGAAAGGGTCACGAGGGACATTTTCCTTCATTGGCTCAATGAAGTGTTTGGCCCCAGTGTGAAGTTATGCTTCCTGGAAAATAAATTGGAATTCAAGTGCCTCCTGATAATGGACAATGCTCCTGCTCATCCTCCAGACTTGGAAGAGCAATTGGTGAAGGAGTTTCGTTTCATCGCAGTGAAGTTCTTGCCCCCCTAATACCACTCTTCTCATCCAGCCCATGGACAAGCAGGTCATTTCAAACTTCAAAAAACTGTACACCAAAGCAGTGTTTCAGAGGTGCTTTGATGTGACCTCAGACATTCACTTGACCCTAAGAGAGTTTTGGAAAGATCGCTTCAGTATCCTCCATTGCATAAACCTTATAGGTAAGGCTTAGGAGGGAGTGACTTTCCATGATTTCGAACTCTGCTTGGAGAAAATTGTGGCCAGAATGTGTCCAAGAGAGGGATTTTGAAGGGTTTGGGGCTGAACCTGACGAGCCTATGGCAGTTGTGGAAAGTATTGTGGCATTGGGGACTTCCATGGGGTTGGATGTGAGTGGCCAGGATGTGGAAGAGTTAGTGGAGGACCACAAGGAAGAGCTAACCACTGAAGAGTTGCAGGAGCTTCATCTGCAACAGCAACAGCAACAGACCACAGCTCAGGAAATTGCTTCGGAGAAGGAGGAAGAGAGATGGAAGAAGGTGCCTTCTTCAAAGATGAAGGACATTTGTGCAAAGTGGAGTGAGGTGCAAACATTTATGAATGAACATCATCCTGACAAAGCTGTTGCAGGCTCTGTTGGCAACATGTACAATGACAGTGTCGTGTCCCATTTTAGGGAAATTTTAAAGAAACGCCAGATACAGACCTCTCTGGAACATTTTTTGAGTGACAGGGGTCTAGTGACTCTCAAGCTGGTCCTAGTGGCATTAAACAACAAAGAAGGGAAGTAACCCCAGAAAAGGACTTGGTACCTCAAGTCTTTATGGAAGGGGATTCCCCTTCCAAATAATAGTACACCTCCATCCTCTCCCCTCCTCCCGTCTCATCACTCATCAACAAGTCTTCAATAAAGGTAAGTGTCATTTTATTATTGTTTTATTCTGCATGTCTCATTGTTTTCTGTGTAGGTAAATGTATATTTCATGTAAAAAATTATTTATTTTTAATACTTTTGAGTGTCTGGAATGGATTAATTGGAGTTACATTATTTCTTATTGGGAAAATGAATTCGGAAATTATCAGATTCGGGTTTAGTCACACTCTCTGGAACAGATTAATTATGATAACCAGGAATGTTGCAGTAGGAGGGTAATCTGAATTGTGATGTCAGTACACTTCTGAAAAAGACAGCTACGAAATGAATAATATATTTTCTTCTTTGGGTCATCCTGCCTTGGTGGGAGATGGCCATTGAGGTAAAAAAAAAAAAATCTTAATGTCTAGAAGTCTTCAAGAGGAAATTGGACAAGCATCTTCACCAAGTGCCAGATCAACCAGGCTGTGATGGATATATGGGACAGCAGGCCACCAACAGCAACAGCTTGGTTGACAAGGCTGGCACCAGAGGACCTAGGCCCATGGCCAGGCTCTGGGGGTAGAAAGACCGAAAACTCACGAGAAGTATATCAAAGGTGGTCTTGTTTTGCTAACACCAGTTACAAATTGCATGTTTTGTCTTCTACAGAGTCAACCATGGGATTACATCACAGGCTCATCTTTTACTCTTCATCCTATATTCCACGGTCTCATGTTGGATTGGTTGGAGTATGCCTCAGTGCTGGATGAGAAGGGTGAACATGCAGTGCGGAGAGAACTTGGAGAGAAGGGAGGAGAGCATGCAGTTAAGAAGCACACTGTTCTTATTACTACAAGGTATGAATTGACTTACATTGCTTCCACTTGTGTTAGCTCAGCGACTAACCTTACCACTTAGAAATACAGTCAGTCATCCATTATCCTGTTCTTAATACAGTCAGTCATCCATTATTCTGTTCTTAATACAGTCAGTAACCCATTATCCTGTTCTTAAAGGAGGAGGAGGAGGGACAGTGCACTCTGGATTTTCAAAAATTCTGGATAATGTATTATTTACTTTTTATGGTCCCACCATTCAACTTAGGTTCCTTGATGTCAGTGAGGGACTTTTGATCAGGAGAGGCAAAGAGAAAAGGAGGTAGGTATCATTGAGTAGTGGAATCAGTTAATGGCTTGCAAACACAAGTTTTTTTTTTTAACAAATACAACTTAAAATTAATTAGGTAGTAGGTTGGTAGACAGCAACCACTCAGGTAGGTACTACCGTCCTGCCAAGTGAGTGTAAAACGAAAGCCTGTAATTGTTTTACATGATGGTAGTATTGCTGGTGTCCATTTTTCTGTCTCATAAACATGCAAGGTTTCAGGTACGTCTTGCTACTTCTACTTATACTTAGGTCACACTACACATACATGTACAAGCATATATATACACACACCCCTCTGGGTTTTCTTCTATTTTCTTACTAGTTCTTGTTCTTGTTTATTTCCTCTTACCTCCATGGGAAAGTGGAACAGAATTCTTCCACCGTAAGCCATGCGTGTTGTAAGAGGCGGCTAAAATGACAGGAGAAAGGGGCTAGTAACCCCTTCTCCTGTATATATTACTAAATGTAAAAGGAGAAACTTACGTTTTTCCTTTTCGGCCACCCCGCCTCGGTGGGATACGGCCGGTGTGTTGAAAGAAAAGAAGAAACATGCAAGATTTCAGGTACGTCTTGCTACTTCTACTTACACTTAGGTCACACGACACATACATGTACAAGCATATATATGTATACACACCCCTCTGGGTTTTCTTCTATTTTCTTCCTAGTTCTTGTTCTTGTTTATTTCCTGTTATCTCCATGGGGAAGTGGAACAGAAGCCTTCCTCCATAAGCCATGCGTATTGTAAGAGGCAGCTAAAATGCCGGGAGCAAGGGGCTAGTAACCCCTTCTCCTGTATAAATTACTAAATTTAAAAAGAGAAACTTTTGTTTTTCTTTTTGGGCCACCCTGCCTCGGCGGGATACGGCCGGTTTGTTGAAAGAAGAAGTAGGTTGGTAGATAGCAACCACCCAGGGAGGTACTACCATCCTGCCAAGTGAGCGTGAAACAGAAGCTTGTAATTGTTTTACATGATGGTAGGATTCCTGGTGTCTTTTTTCTGTCTCATAAACATGAAAGATTTTAGGTATGTCTTGCTACTTCTATTCACACTTAGGTCACACTACACATGCATGTACAAGCATATATATATGCACCCCTCTGGATTTTCTTCTATTTTCTTACTAGTTCTTGTTCTTGTTTATTTCCTCTTATCTCCATAAGGAAGTGGAACAGAATTCTTCTTCCATACGCCATGCATGTCATAAGAAGTTCCTAAAATGTCAAGTGCAAAAGGCTAGTAACCCCTTCTGTATACATTAATAAAGTTAAAAAGAGAAACTTTTTTTTTTTTTTGGGGTCATCCTGCTTCAATGGAATACTGCCAGTTTATTGAAAGAAAGAATAACTTTAAATTGCTTTATATTGGCATTCATAACAAAAATCTATTGGAAAGAAAACAGATTTGAGCATGGGAAATACAGTGAGATTATTTTGGAAACCCTGTGGTGGATTTTTGAATTGTGTCTTGTGTCAAGTCAAATGAAAATGGACACATGTCTTGATATTTTAACAACTGCTGTGAGTTATATCATATCACAGCCTCATAATACATGGATTGATACAAGGATAGGAGAAAATGTTTGGAATCGGCTGTCATTCTTACCAGAGACAGTCTCTCAAAACCTGGGTAGTTTTCAGTTGATGGGACCCCTGGCTCATGTGGTCCTCATGGTGGACCCTGGCACATGTGGTCCTCATGGTGGACCCTGGCACACGTGGTCCTCATGGTGGACCCTGGCACACGTTTGGGCCTCATGGGGACCTGGCTCATGTGGTCCTCATGGTGGACCCTGGCACACGTGGTCCTCATGATGGACCCTGGCTCATGTGGTCCTCATGGTGGACCCTGGCACATGTGGTCCTCATGGTGGACCCTGGCACACGTGGTCCTCATGGTGGACCCTGGCTCATGTGGTCCTCATGGTGGACCCTGGCACACGTGGTCCTCATGATGGACCCTGGCTCACATGGTCCTCATGGTGGACCCTGGCACACGTGGTCCTCATGATGGACCCTGGCACACGTGGTCCTCATGATGGACCCTGGCTCACATGGTCCTCCTAGTGGACTCTGGCTCGCATGGTCCTTCTAGTGGACCCCTGGCTCACATGGTCCTCATGGTGGACCCTTGCTAACATGGTCCTCATGGTGGACCCTGGCTCACATGGTCCTCCTAGTGGACCCTGGCTCACATGGTCCTCATGATGAACCCTGGCTCACATGGTCCTCATGAGATACCCTGGCTCACATGGTCCTCATGTTGGATCCTGGTTCACATGGTCCTCATGATGGACCCTGGCTCACATGGCCCTCATAGTGGACCCTGGCTCACATGGTCGTCATGATGGATCCTGGCTCACATGGTCCTCATGTTGGACCCTGGCTTATATGGTCCTCATGATGTCCCTGGCACACGTGGTCCTCATGATGGACCCTGGCTCACATGGTCCTCATGGTGGACCCTTGGCTCACATGGTCCTCGTAGTTGACCCCTGGCTCACATGGTCCTCCTAGTTGACCCCTGGCTCACATGGTCCTCCTAGTTGACCCCTGGCTCACATGGTCCTACTAGTTGACCCCTGGCTCACATGGTCCTACTAGTTGACCCCTGGCTCACATGGTCCCCCTAGTGGATCCCTGGCTCACAAGGTCCTTCTAGTAGACCCATGGTTCACATGGTCCTCCTAGTGTACCCCTGGCTCACATGGTCCTCCTAGTGTACCCCTGGCTCACATGGTCCTCCTAGTGGATCCCTGGCTCACATGGTCCTCCTAGTGGACCCCTGGCTCACATGGTCCCCCTAGTGGACCTATGGCTCACATGGTCTTCCTAGTGGACCCCTGACTCACATGATCCTCTTAGTGGACCCATGGCTCACATGGTCCTCCTAGTGGACCCATGGCTCACATGGTCCTCCTAGTGTACCCTTGGCTCACATGGTCCTCCTAGTGAACCCATGGCTCACATGGTCCTCCTAGTGGACCCATGGCTCACATGGTCCTCCTAGTGTACCCTTGGCTCACATGGTCCTCCTAGTGAACCCATGGCTCACATGGTCTTCCTAGTGGACCCCTGGCTCACATGGTCCTCCTAGTGGACCAATGGCTCACACGGTATTCCTAGTGGACCCATGGCTCACATGGCACACACTAGCCTCCTGATCTGACTCAGGTTTGCACTTCACTCCTTCTCGTCATCATCTCTCCCAACAATACACACCGTTGCTTACTGTGTATTCTCTAATAACTTTAAAATGCTTGATCTCAAAGTGTAACATTGTTTCAGTAAACTTTGTATATCCCATTACTTATATTTTATAAGCACCTCTTTCCGATGCATGATACAGATGCGTTTTGGGCGAGCGCTAAACTAATGTTTTCTGTAACTCGATGAAAATAGGTATACATACATGTTCTTGAATGGAATGGAGATCTTGTTCAACAGCACCCGTTCGAAAATGTTCTTTTCTAGAATGAACTAATAAGGACCCCACTGGAAATAAGGTTCTCTACATATATGCTGCTATGTCTGATAATCTATGTAGCTGTATTTGTGTATACCTGAATAAATTTAACGTGGCTTGCTCATGCGAATAAGAGAGATATTTCGTATTTATCATCCATCTCGTAATGTTGTAAATGAAGATCTTGAGAATACAATGCCTGAACTCTGAACAAGTTGGGTGGTGATTGGCTGCGCTGTTGTAACAAAACAACTAAGAGAGTGAAAAATGGTGAATGTGTTTACATCTTTGGGTCACACTAGTGTGGCCCAAAAGAAAATGGTCATCTTTTAAAACTAAGTATTATATAGAATGATTATATGTTAATTTTTTTTATTTTGCAGACATGCAGTACCTATCTTTATAAGTGAACTGCAAAAGTGGGTGTCACAGAATTCTAGTGACACCTCCATCAAGATATTTGAGGAGTCTGTGAGTGAGGGAGAGGAAACACCAGCTTACAAGTTTGTGGAGCCTGGCAAGGTTCGTTACTTATCTTTATTTTGCTTCTCCGTGGTATTTATTTTTCCATTTAGATTAGTTAGACTTAAGTGTCCTTTGATTCACCACTTATAGTAAAGCATAATGTGGAAAATGGAGAATTATAAGGATATTAACCCTTTGACTGTTTCGGTCGTATATATACGTCTTACAAGCCACCGTTTTCGACATATATATACTACTCATAAATTCTAGCGGCTTCAAATCAAGCAGGAGAAAGCTGGTAGGCCCACCTGTGAGAGAATGGGTCTGTGTGGTCAGTGTGCACCATATAAAAAAAATCCTGCAGCACGCAGTGCATAATGAGAAAAAAAACTCTGACCATTTTTTTTAATTAAAATGCCGACTTTGTGGTCTATTTTCGTGTAGTATTTATGGTTGTATTCTCATTTGCTTGGTCTCAGTTGATAGAATGGAAAACATATTATAGAAATAGTGGTGATTTTGATTGGTTTTTCTATGAAAAGAACCTTGAAATGGAGCTCAAAGTAGGGGAAATGTTTGATTTTTGCCGATGTTCAAAAGTAAACAAATGATGTCATTTTCCAATAAGTAGTCATTCTAATATGCAGTCATGAATGGGTTGACATTATTTATACAATTATTACAATATTGCAGTAGTCTGCATAACAGTAAATCTTTTATTTTTTGTTTGAATAAAAACTCAGAATAGAAAACAAGAGTAATATCAGAGGGGCCTGGAGACGTGACTGATGAACATAGAAAATGTTATTTTAGAGCCAGGAATGTCTGCATTGTTCATTCTGGACCCTATTTTGAAACTGTCATATTTTTTAATTTTCTTGAAATTGGCCAAATTGCAAATTTCTGACCACGTTATTAGGTAGTTGAAATTGGTAAATGGGCATTTTCTTGTACTCAGTCAGTAGAGAAAATGGAGTTCTAAAGAAATAGCTATGGGTTTGGTCTACTGGAACAATGGAATTAGCTGAAAATAGGGCTCAAAGTGAGCAAAAATCGCCGATTCGTAAATATCGTCGAGGTCGCTAATTTCACGAGAGCGTAATTCTGTCAGTTTTCCATCAAATTTCGTTGTTTTGGTGTCATTACAACCGGGAAAAGATTCTCTATCATTTCATGAGTTTTTTTTTTTTTTTTTTTTTTCAACACCTGGAGACACCTCAGGATTTGGGGTTGTGACAGTCAAGGGGTTATTGAAACTGTAAGGGGTTAATGGAACTCTTAACTCTTAAATGGTCCAAACATATATATGTACGTTCTCTCGTGTAGCGCCCCGAATTTTTTGAGAAAAAAAAATTGTTTTTTATTATTAGGAAAAAAGAGCATATGGTACCCAGGCATCCCCAGTTTTTTTCATATGGCACACAGTGAGTGCACACACCCATTCTCTTATGTCTAGGTGACTCAGGGTTATTGTGCCAATGTTGAATGAATGACAAAGGAAGTGTATATATACGTTTGGACCGTTTAAGGGTTAAGGGTTAATGTTAGAGCAGTTGCTAAAAAAAGTCGTAAGTACCACTTAGTTCTGTTACAGACGCTTGTTGAAATCGTAATTAAGTTTCCCATTGGGATTAGTATTCTTCTCAGTTTTTAAAACACACCTGAATACCTCCGCTTATAAAGTCAGATTTTAAAAGTTCTCTTATTATCACATTGCAAACAGCTGTAGTGTGATAGCATGTCTGTCTCAGATGTAATGGATAAGTAAGTTTTTTCGATACAGGTACATATAAATACAGTTACAAAAATTATCATATATAGTAACATATGTCCTAGGTAGTAGGTTGGTAGACAGCAACCGCCCAGGGAGGTATTACCTTCCTGCCAAGTGAGTGTAAAACGAGAGCCTGTAGTTGTTTTACATGATGGTAGGATTGCTGGTGTCTTCTTTCTGTCTCATAAACATGCAAGATTTTAGGTACATTTTGCTGCTTACACTTTGGTCACACTACACATGCATGTACAAGCATATATATACACACCCCTCTGGGTTTTCTTATATTTTCTTACTAGTTCTTGTTTATTTCCTCTTATCTCCATGGGGAAGTGAAACAGAATTCTTCCTCCGTAAGTCATGCATGTTGTAAGAGGCAACTAAAATGCTGGGAGCAAGGGGCTAATAACCCCCTTTCCTGTATAATACTAAATTTAAAAAGAGAAACATTCATTTTTCTTTTTGGGCCACCCTGCTTTGGTGGGATATGGCAGGTTTGTTGAAAGAATAAGAAGTAACGTATGTGTAAATTATCCACCAGGATAACCCAAAAAAGTCAGGCAAAGTGACTTATTTCCATTGGATCAATTATTAATCATATTCACCTAGCAGTAGATAATTACCTGGGATTCATTTGTTGTGGGTTGCAAACTGGGCAAGGAGAGACATATATTGTGGTCTTTTGACACCTGCTGCCCCCTGTTCATCTAACAATAAATAGTTACCTTGGTTTTGGTTGACTGGTGTAAATGGCATCCTGAGGAGGGTGAGGCATGTGGGCAAGTCTCCTAACACCTGCTACCAGTGTTCACCTAGCAGTAACTAGGTACCTTGTATTAGTCAAACGTTGGCTTGGGAAGACCACCAAAATGCAGATGTGACATACACAGACTTTGCAAAGGCAGTCATGGGGCAATAGCATACAAAATGAGAGCCATAGGCATTATGGGGAAGGTAGGCAGATGGATTTTCAAATTCCTAACACACACAACACAAAAAGTACAGTGGAACCTCTGCTTATGAGTTTAATCCATTCTACGACCTTGTTCGCATCTCGATTTGCTCGTTTGCAGAGTCAATTTTCCTCATTCAAATTAATTGAAATGGAATTAATGCGTTCCAGTGGAATTCCAGGCACCATAAAATACTTCAATGATTTCCCTAATATCAACTCTACGGCTTATTTATCTGTCACAATTCACTTAATATGACATAATAAACAATATAAATAACATAGAAACCTGATATATACTCTAGAATGAATAAAATATGTCATTATATATGTGGCAGTGTCGGTGGCCAACGAGAGTTTATCTGGAGACAGGACAAAATATTCCTTGAATATTTCGCTATCATCAACTCTACAGCTTATTTATCTATCAAAATTCATTTAATATGACATAATAAACAATATAAATCCTAGGTAGTAGGTTGATAGACAGCAACCGCCCAGGGAGGTACTCCCGTCCTGCCAAGTGAGTGTAAAACGAATGCCTGTAATTGTTTTACATGATGGTAGGATTGCTGGTATGTCTTGCTACTTCTACTTACACTTAGGTCACACTACACATACATGTACAAGCACATATATACACACCTATCTGGGTTTTCTTCTATTTTCTTACAAGTTCTTATTCTTGTTTATTTCCTCTTATCTCCATGGGGAAGTGGAACAGAATTCTTCCTCCGTAAGCCATGCGTGTTGTAAGAGGCGACTAAAATGCCAGGAGCAAGGGGCTAGTAACCTCTTCTCCTGTATATATTACTAAATGTAAAAGGAGAAACTTTCGTTTTTCCTTTTGGGCCACCCCGCCTCGGTGGGATACGGCCGGTTTGTTGAAAAAATAAAAACAATATAAATAACAGAAACCTGATACAGTGGACCCCCGGTTAACGATATTTTTTCACTCCAGAAGTATGTTCAGGTGCCATTACTGACCGAATTTGTTCCCATAAGAAATATTGTGAAGTAGATTAGTCCATTTCAGACCCCCAAACATACATGTACAAACGCACTTACATAAATACACTTACATAATTGGTCGCATTCGGAGGTAATCGTTATGCGGGGGTCCACTGTATATACTCTAGAATGAATAAAATATGTCATTGTGTGACAAGTGGAGGCAGCCATAACAGTTCCAGCATTGTTGTGGTAAATACAACCTTCTAGTGACAGTCTTTTGTAGTCTTTTTATTATAATTATTATTATATAGTACATTGTTATTATACATGTATTATTATTATATGTATTATTATTATTAAATTATACTATTATTATACGTATTATTATTATTAATAATATTATTACAATAAAAATAATTTGTAATTTTATTCACACAAAAAATAGAAGACTTACTGTTATGCAAACTACTGCATTATTGTAATAATTGTATAAATAATGTCAACCCATTCATGACTACGTATTGGAATGGAGGTGACATCATTTGTTTACTCTTGAACATCGGCAAAACTAGAACATGTCTGCGACTTGGAGTTCATTTTTAAGGTATGTACTTCTCATCGTGAAACCATTCAGAATCTTATCTGTTTCTTTAATATATCTTCCATTCTATCAAATGAGACCAAAAAATGAGAATACACCATAAACACCATAGAAAAATACCGCTAAGGGGTGGCTAATTGCTGAAAAGTGAACTCCATTATGTATGGTCCGATTTCTTTCATTTTTGGTGTACGTTAAGAAGCATCTCTCCATCATTCATTTCCTAAGTTTCAATAAGATAGCTCAACAAACAAATGAGATCCAATTTCCTAGATCAAGAGCAAGAGCCCCTCACCAGCGTCAACGACCCTCCTTTGAGGCCCGCTTGCTTATGGAATTTTCACTTGTGTATGGAAGCAGAAAATCGACCGATTGACTGCTCGTGTTTGGAAAAACTTGCATGTGGATGCACTTGCAAATAGAGGTTCCACTGTAGTAGTAAACAGAGCAAAATCCAGCATCAGTGAGGTAAAAAGCTCAGTTCCCTAAGGCAGTGTCCTGGCACCTCTGCTGTTTCTCATCCTCATAGCAGACATAGATATAAACACCCATCACAGTTTTGTATCATCATTTGCAGATAGCACTGAAAAAAGCTTGAAAATCACTTTGATAGAAGACACTGAAAAATTACCGGAAGATATAAGCAGTATTTTCCAGTGGACTGTAGAGAACAACATGATGTTCAGTGGTGATAAGTTGCAACTGCTTAGGTATGGAAAGAATGAAGAACTCAAAAGGAACACTGTATATATACAGAACTTAAGAGGACTGTCATATTGAAAGAAAGAAACATGTGAAAGTCTTGGGAATAATTATGTCAGCTGACCTTTCTTTCAAAGAGCACAATAAGACAAAGGTCACAACAGCCAGGAGGAGGATGGGGTGGATAATTAGAACTTTGAAAACAAGGTAAATAGTGCCAGTGATGAACTTTTCAAATCGCTAGTGCTTCATTTGGAATATCGCTCAGTATTGACAGCCCCATTCAGGGATGGAGAAATATCAGAGCTGAAACAAATGCAGTGATATTCGATATTCGAACTTAATCCGTTCCAGTAGGCTGTTCGAATAGTGAGTTGTATGAATATTTAATAAATTTTTCCCATAAATAATGTAAATTGGATTAATCTGTTCAAGACCCCCAAAAATTATCATTCATAAAACATCTTAAATTAAAATATTCCGTATTTAAACCTGTAGAAAAACAATAAATACATGAAAAAAAAAAATGAAAATTTTACTGCACTTTGCCTTTACTGAGGAATGGTGATGGCCTAAGAGGAAGGTGGAGAGATGTTGATGTTTGGAAAGGTTGTCACCTTCCACAAAAACATCAGGTAACTGCCGTCTGGTCTTTTTTCTTTTCAGTCTCTGTGCAGTAGCACTTGAAGATGATGGGGATTCACTAGTATATGAGTGTTTTCATTGCTAAAGAATCTGTCCAATGTTGTCTGCTTTTGACAACTTTCAAAAATTTTCTAAAGTGGTCAACAATTTAAGGCAAGCCCCTGCTTGCTTGCCTTAAATTCATCACTTTCAGCACTGTTTCCCTGAGTATCTCACCTAAGATCACTATATAACTGCTGTGCTTTTTCACAAATTATTGTTTTAGAAACACTGTCACCGGCCAGTTGTTTTTCATTAACCCTTTCAGTGTCGGTTCCGTTATATCACGGTTTTAAAGCCAGTTTCAGTCCATTGAGTGGCCAGGTCCGACGTGCATGTTCCACTTTCCCACTTTGCAGTGAGTTTTTTTTTTTTCACTTTTATTGTTGTTCTCGCTGCTTTCGTTTTAGGCTTCTTGGGATCACTACTCTTTTTTGGGGGCCATGATTACTTATTTTCAATGAGAATATTTAAAAAATGCTACAGAATAACAATGAAATGTCAAAACGTTTCAGGAATGATGCTGAACAAATGAAAGCAGATGAGAGTGAGCGTGTAATGCTTTGTTTTCGCTGGACTTTCTCCAGATGGACCATTTTGTTTAGGTCAGATATCAGGGCAATGTCTAAATACCGAGTTAAAATTTTCTTGAAAAAGTTGGGTGAATATCAAGTTGTATGAATATAGGAGCATTCGAAAATTGAGGTTTCACTGTACAGAGATTGTTTACGGTCCACGGACTACCTAGATGGGAATTTCCCAAATTCCTTCTATCTTGCTCCAACTGAGCCCACAGAAGTCACCGAGATTATAAAGTCACTTAAAAATAACTCAGGGAATCTGTCTCATGTCCCACCATTATTGTACAAGAGAGTGGCCCATGTCCTCTCGCATATTATCTCATTACTTTTTAACAAGTCACTAGAAACTAGCACCTTCCTGAAATTACTCAAGACGGCAAGGGTTACACCAATACATAAAGGTGGTGACCCTACAGATTTAAACAACTATAGGCCAATATCAAACTTACCATTGCTATCCAAAATCTTTGAGAAACTCGTGCACAGGAGACTGTATTCATTTATAACGTCACAAAACATACTCAATCCCTGCCAATTTGGATTCAGGAAAAATAAAAGCACTAACGATGCAATCATAAAAATGCTAGATCTGCTTTACACAGCATTGGAAAATAAGGAATATCCACTAGGAATTTTTATTGACCTAAGAAAAGCTTTTGACACAGTAGACCACAGCATCCTACTCCACAAACTTGACCATTATGGTATAAGAGGCCATGCGCTTGCATATTTCAAATCTTACCTTACTAATAGGTATCAGTATGTCACCATTAAAGACACAGCATCAACAACACAGCCACTTGATACTGGAGTTCCGCAGGGAAGTGCCCTTGGTCCCCTGCTCTTCCTCATATACATCAATGATCTTCCAAACGTATCTCGACACCTGAACCCTATTCTCTTTGCTGACGACACGACTTATGTCATCTCTCACCCTAATCTTGCCACCCTCAACACCATTGTTAATGAGGAGCTGATCAAAATATCGACTTGGATGACAGCCAATAAACTTACGCTTAACGTTGACAAAACCTACTACATTATGTTTGGTAGCAGAGCAGGAGATGCGCAAATTAACATTAAGATCGACAACACTCTAATTGCCAGGCATAATGAGGGCAAATTCCTAGGCCTATACTCGACAACAACCTGAACTTCAGCACCCATATCCAACACATAACCCAAAAAAAAGTATCCAAAACGGTTGGGATCCTCTCCAAGATACGATACTACGTGCCGCAAACTGCCCTTCTCACACTATACCATTCACTTATATATCCATACCTCACCTATGCTATCTATGCTTGGGGTTCAACTGCAGCAACACACCTAAAGCCAATAATAACCCAACAAAAAGCCGAAGTAAGAATAATCACTAACTCCCATCCCTGGCAACACACCCCCCCACTCTTCATAGATCTAAACTTACTCCCTGTTCAGTACAATCCACATTTTACTATGTGCAATCTACATCTACAGGACCTTAAATTCCAATATTAACCTTGACCTAAAATGCTTTCTTGATAGTTGTGACAGAACCCACAGGCACAACACCAGACACAAACATCTCTATGACATTCCCCGTGTCCGACTAAACCTTTACAAAAATTCAATGTACATGTATGTCAAAGGCCCTAAAATCTGGAACACCCTACCTGAAAATTCCAAAACTGCAGACACATTCATCACCTTCAAAACTACCATCAGAAAACATCTTATCTCCCTGATACACCCTGTCAACTAATAATACGAATACCACCTGGTGGTTCACACTTACACTCACTCACCCTTTTGACCATAAACAGAAATATCAATCTCAATCTCAAAATAATGAATCTTAACTAGTCATAAGTTGGCCTGTGATACTCCAATACTGAAACTATGTATAGTGCCAAAACAAAAACATTCACATTGCTAAACTCACAACTAGTATTTAGTCACTTAGCCATAATACCAACTTACCTCATAATTTTGTAATATTTTAAACTTAAGATTTAATATAAGTCTGCCCGAAATGCCTAGCCATGCTAGGTGTTCTAGTGGTACACTCTGTAGTTATTATTTTACTACATGTAAACCACACAATAACCAAATTCTGTAAACTCAGCATTGTAATCCTTATAGAGAATAAACTTTGAATTGAATTGAATTGAATAGAGCCAGTGAAGCATTTAAACTACTGGGAGCAGAAGAGAGAGAGAGAGAGAGAGAGATGCATGATAATATATACCTGGAAAGTACTCTAGGGCCTGGTTCCAAATCTGCACACTGCCATACTGGAGCAAGAGATATGGGAGGAAGTGCAAAATAAACCATGTATCAATATTCGTGGCCCCAGATTATTCAACATCTTACCAGAAGATATCAGAAACACTGCTGGAACAAGTGCAGAAATCTTCAAGAGGAAATTGGACAATTATCTTCACCAGGTGCCAGATCCACCAGGCTGTGATGGATATGTGGGGCAGCAGACCACCAACAGCAACAGCCTGGTTGACCAGGCAAGCACCAGACCAGCCTGGACTATGGCCGGGCTCCGGGAGTAGGAAGTCTCTCGAAGCTCATAAAAGGTAAAAGTATCCTGGAGGGAAGGTGCTAGGATGCCTTAGGTAGAGCTAGACTTAGAGGTTGACTAACAAAGAGAAAACCTCTTGAAACCTGTTACATGTATGTATTGTCACCAGTCATTGTAATACACTTCAACATGTATGTATTGTCACCAGTCATTGTAATACTCTTCAACATGTATGTATTGTCATGACTCATTGTAATACTTCAACAAGTCTTGAAATTCAAATTTTTTTCATGAGGTGTGGTAGTGGCCCAGTCTTCTAGTTCAAGTATGTATATTGTCATCCGTCCAAACTCACAGGCCTCTGTTTACAAGGATTTTGATTATCCATTTTTTTTTTTAAGTTAACTAGCAAATATATTAATTAGTCAACATGTTTTTTTTGCCCTGGCTTTCCCATACCTTTGATGAGTTCCGAGAGTTTTTTTACTCCCAGAGCTCGGCCAAGTACTTTACTGGTATATGTATCATGTATCTCTCTCTCTCTCTCCTCCTCCTCTCCAGTGAGTACTTATTTTAAGACTTTTAAGCATTCCCAGTGATTAAAATGTTTTATTGGCTCAATGCAATATTGCTCAATGTTGATGCCCCATTCAGGACAGGAGAAATATTAGAGCTGAAATATTATTATTTTTTTATTATTATTATCACACTGGCCGATTCCCACCAAGGCAGGGTGGCCCGAAAAAGAAAAACTTTCACCATCATTCACTCCATCACTGTCTTGTAGTGTAGAGCACCCTTCTGGCAAGACAGTGATGGAGTGAATGATGGTGAAAGTTTTTCTTTTTCGGGCCACCCTGCCTTGGTGGGAATCGGCCAGTGTGATAATAATAATATTTCAGCTCTAATATTTCTCCCGTCCTGAATGGGGCATCAACATTGAGCAATATTGCAGTTATGGGAAAACAAGTGATTTGAAAAGTGTCACCATTGGCATTATTTTCCTTGTTTTGAAAGTTCTCATTTACCACCTCGTCATCATCCTGACTCTTGTGACCTTGGTCGTACTGTATTTTTTGAATGAGATCAGCTCGTATCTATTTTCAGTTTCTAGTTTCATGGGACTTCTGGGAATGTAAACATTCCCACTTCTCTAAATCTGTAAGGATGACAGTACCATTGTTATTTTTATTTTTGTGCAATCAGTAATAAGAGAAAGACAAATTTTGGGACATTTTTATGTATTCTTTGCAGATTGCACAAGTGCTGAAATGTGACCCTAAGGGAGGCTACATAAACAACAACTTCATAATCATTGGTCGTAACAAGCAGCTATGGTGGGCTACGCTCTTTGAAGAAAACTTTAATGATTACTACATAAACATGATAACATGTAAGTGTTTTGTTATCTTGATTGCTGCTCCTTCATGCTATCATCTCTTAGTCACAGATGTTTGCCATGAATCTTGAATTACTTGTACACTTATTCACTTTTAAAACTGTTTAAACTGAACTCTTTATTATTAATTTCTTGCTTAAATTTGGTGAAATATGTATGTTATATAGTACAATTTGAATTTTTTCATTCATTGAATATATTTTTCTTAATTATGTTAGTATAATTACAGTATTATATTAAATTTACAGTTGCTAAATTATGCTATGGCTCACATATTTACATATTCTTCATTCTGTTTAATTTGACAGTATGTAGGATGTTTAAATGGCTTTATAAGTTTAGTGTTTGTGTGTTCATTAACCTATCACTGTCCATCACGTACAACTGCGTCATTGATGCCAGGGTCCTTGACTTATTTCTGCATCATGAGTTCATCTCACTTAAATAAGCTGTGAGTGGTAAATTTTGGCCTAGATATGAGAGAATGGGTCCACACAGTGAGTGTGCACAGTATAAAAAACATTCTGCCCTACTTATTGCTTGATGGGAAAAGCTAAGCTCTGACCACGAGTTTCGTTAACAATAGCAATATTGAGGTGTTTTCTTGGATAGTTTTTAAGGTTTTTATTGGCTGTTTCTTGATATCATTTGATAGAATGGAAGACATACTACTAGAATAGAGATGACTTTGATTAGTTTCAGATTTGGAAGTAGCCTGAAATTGAGAATATTCAGTTTTTGCAGATATTCCAGAGGACAGGTAAGATCCTCCTTGAACTCCTAGTGTGTTTTATGGGTTTTTAATAGGTCTGATTCAATTATTGGGATACTGTATCCATGAACAATCTTTCCTGACTATATCTTATTTTTTTTTTTTCAACAAGTCGGCCGTCTCCCACCAAGGCAGGGTGAATAAGAATGCAAAATGCAAAGGAAATGTAATATAGGAGAGGCCTGGGAATGTGACTAATGAACAGAGGAAATGTTTTAGTGCCAGGAATGTCTACATTGGTATTTTTTTATTAGGGTAATTAGATTATGTATTGGTGGATAAAAGGTTGATGGGTAGGCTCCAGGATGTACATGTTTATAGAGGGGCAACTGATATATCGGATCATTATTTAGTTTTAGCTACAGTTAGAGTAAGAGGTAGATGGGAAAAGAGGAAGGTGGCAACAAGAAGTAAGAGGGAGGTGAAAGTGTATAAACTAAGGGAGGAGGAAGTTCGGGTGAGATATAAGCAACTATTGGCAGAAAGGTGGGCTAGTGCAAAGATGAGTAGTGGGGGGTTGAAGAGGGTTGGAATAGTTTTAAAAATGCAGTATTAGAATGTGGGCAAGAAGTTTGTGGTTATAGGAGGGTGGGGGCAGGAGGAAAGAGGAGTGATTGGTGGAATGATGAAGTAAAGGGTGTGATAAAAGAGAAAAAGGTAGCTTATGAGAGGTTTTTACAAAGCAGAAGTGTTATAAGAAGAGCAGAGTATATGGAGAGTAAAAGAAAGGTAAAGAGAGTGGTGAGAGAGTGCAAAAGGAGAGCAGATGAAAGAGTGGGAGAGGCACTGTCAAGAAATTTTAATGAAAATAAGAAAAAATTTTGGAGTGAGTTAAACAAGTTAAGAAAGCCTAGGGAAAGTATGGATTTGTCAGTTAAAAACAGAGTAGGGGAATTAGTAGATGGGGAAAGGGAGGTATTAGGTAGATGGCAAGAATATTTTGAGGAACTTTTAAATGTTGAGGAAGAAAGGGAGGCGGTAATTTCATGCACTGGCCAGGGAGGTATATCTTTTAGGAGTGAAGAAGAGCAGAATGTAAGTGTGGTGGAGGTACGTGAGGCATTACGTAGAATGAAAGGGGGTAAAGCAGCTGGAACTGATGGGATCATGACAGAAATGTTAAAAGCAGGGGGGGATATAGTGTTGGAGTGGTTGGTACTTTTGTTTAATAAATGTATGAAAGAGGGGAAGGTACCTAGGGATTGGCAGAGAGCATGTATAGTCCCTTTATATAAAGGGAAAGGGGACAAAAGAGATAGTAAAAATTATAGAGGAATAAGTTTACTGAGTATACCAGGAAAAGTATACTGTAGGGTTATAATTGAAAGAATTAGAGGTAAGACAGAATGTAGGATTGCAGATGAGCAGGGAGGCTTCAGAGTGGGTAGGGGATGTGTAGATCAAGTGTTTACATTGAAGCATATATGTGAACAGTATTTAGATAAAGGTAGGGAAGTTTTTATTGCATTTATGGATTTAGAAAAGGCATATGATAGAGTGGATAGAGGAGCAATGTGGCAGATGTTGCAAGTACATGGAATAGGTGGTAAGTTACTAAATGCTGTTAAGAGTTTTTATGAGGATAGTGAGGCTCAGGTTAGGGTGTGTAGAAGAGAGGGAAAATACTTCCCGGTAAAAGTCGGTCTTAGACAGGGATGTGTAATGTCACCATGGTTGTTTAATATATTTATAGATGGGGTTGTAAAAGAAGTAAATGCTAGGGTGTTCTGGAGAGGGGTGGGGTTAAATTATGGGGAATCAAATTCAAAATGGGAATTGACACAGTTACTTTTTGCTGATGATACTGTGCTTATGGGAGATTCTAAAGAGAAATTGCAAAGGTTAGTGGATGAGTTTGAGAACGTGTGTAAAGGTAGAAAGTTGAAAGTGAACATAGAAAAGAGGAAGGTGATGAGGGTATCAAATGATTTAGATAAAGAAAAATTGGATATCAAATTGGGGAGGAGGAGTATGGAAGAAGTGAATGTTTTCAAATACTTGGGAGTTGACGTGTCGGCGGATGGATTTATGAAGGATGAGGTTAATCATAGAATTGATGAGGGAAAAAAGGTGAGTGGTATGTTGAGGTATATGCGGAGTCAAAAAACGTTATCTATGGAGGCAAAGAAGGGAATGTATGAAAGTATAGTAGTACCAACACTCTTATATGGGTGCGAAGCTTGGGTGGTAAATGCAGCAGCGAGGAGACGGTTGGAGGCAGTGGAGATGTCCTGTCTAAGGGCAATGTGTGGTGTAAATATTATGCAGAAAATTCGGAGTGTGGAAATTAGGAGAAGGTGTGGAGTTAATAAAAGCATTAGTCAGAGGGCAGAAGAGGGGTTGTTGAGGTGGTTTGATCATTTAGAGAGAATGGATCAAAGTAGAATGACATGGAAAGCATATAAATCTAAAGGGGAAGGAAGGAGGGGTAGGGGTCGTCCTCGAAAGGGTTGGAAAGAGGGGGTAAAGGAGGTTTTGTGGGCGAGGGGCTTGGCCTTCCAGCAAGCATGCATGAGCATGTTAGATAGGAGTGAATGGAGACGAATGATACTTGGGACCTGACGATCTGTTGGAGTGTGAGCAGGGTAATATTTAGTGAAGGGATTCAGGGAAACCGGTTATTTTCATATAGTCAGACTTGAGTCCTGGAAATGGGAAGTACAATGCCTGCACTTTAAAGGAGGGGTTTTGGGATATTGGCAGTTTGGAGGGATATGTTGTGTATCTTTATACGTATATGCTTCTAAACTGTTGTATTCTGAGCGCCTCTGCAAAAGCAGTGATAATGTGTGAGTGTGGTAAAAGTGTTGAATGATGATGAAAGTATTTTCTTTTTGGGGATTTTCTTTCTTTTTTGGGTCACCCTGCCTCGGTGGGAGACGGCCGACTTGTTGAAAAAAAAAAAAATTAAGATGGTTGAATGGGCAGTTTCTTGTGGCCATTCAATAGAACAGAAGGCATATTAGTGAAAAAGCAAAGAATTTGGTCAACTGGAACAATGGAATTGACTTAAAATATGACTCAAACTCTATGAAATCACCACTGCATAAATTGCACTGAGACTGCTAAGTTTGTGCCTGCATATTTCCATAAGTTTTCCATAAAATTTTATACCTTCAGTGTCATTACCTTTAAAAAAGATTCTCTACTATTTCAGAATTTTTTTTTTTTTTTTTTTAATTTTTGGACATTGAGAGCAAGTTCATTTTGGAGGTTTGGACAAGGAAAGGGTTAAGAGCAGGGTTGTGACACATCAGCTCCACAAGTAATTGGAACCTTACATCTCCTACAGTGCTCACATTTCATACCCAAGTCTCTGTGATTCGCACCAGATTCAAGAGTTTTTCTTTACAAAAATGCCACCATAACTCATGCAATTTTTTTTTTCAACAAACCAGCCGTATCCCACCAAGATAGGGTGACCTGAAAAAGAAGAAACGCTTTTACCCTCACTCACTGTATCACTGTCTTGCCAGAGGCATGCTAACATTACAGTTCAGATGACCTTCCATACTGCAACATCACCCCGCCTTCAGAATGCAGGCGCTGGACTTTCCACCTCTAGGACTCGAGTCCGGCTAACCAGTTTCCTTGAATCTCTTATAAAATTTACCTTGCTCACACTTCAATAGCACATCAAGTGCCGTTGGAATTGTAACGGTTGGTTTTTGCTAGTGAGACTGTACTTTTGGAAGAGTCTGAAGAGTAGCTGTAAAGGTTGGTAGATAAATTTGGGAGGATATGTATAAGTGGTTTGAACATTTAGAGAGGATGGAACAAAGCAGAATGACTTGGAGGGCATATATATCTGTAGTGGAAGGAAGGCGGGGTAGGGGATCATCCTAGGAAAAGTTGGAGGAAGGGAGTAAAGAAGGTTTTGTGTGCGAAGGGCTTGAACTTCCAGCAGCATGCATGAGCATGTTAGGAGCGAGTGGAGATGAACGGTTTTTATAAATTGACATGCTGTTGGAGTGTAAGCAAAGTAACATTTATGAAGGAATTCAGGGAAACCAGCAAGCCAGACTTGAGTCCTGGAGGTGGGAAGTAGTGTCTGCACTCTGAAGGAGGGGTGTGGATGTTGCAGTTTTTTAACTGTAGTGTAGGCATGCCTTTGGCAAGACAATGATGAGTGAATGATGATGAAAGTGTTTCTTTTTTTTTGGGTCGCCCTACCTTGGTGAGAAGTAGCCAGCATTAATAAAATATAAAAAAATGTAAGAGG